ATAAGAAATAATAGCAATAAAATTTTTCGAATAATTAATTCTTAATAATTCATGATTTCAGTTGATTATAAGACACATTAACAAAATAAAAATAGTAAAAACAAATTTACTAACTTTAGAGATAATTATTTATTGTTAAAACTTAGACAAAACAGAAATGTAAATTCAAGGTTTCCAATGTTGCCAAATGTACATTTAAATAAAAATAATAACAAACTATTTTTTAAATTGTTTACTTACTTCTTAAACAAGATGTTCAACAACATGACTTAATATATATATATATATATATATATATACATAAATCTATGTATATAACTTATTAAACGAGTTATCTTAGTGTTTTGATCGGTTTTGGGATATCCTTGTTCATTATGTCTTATCAAATTTCATGAAACTCAACAATTATAAAATAAAAAGTAATATCGATATTTAGTTTTATTTACTTAGATATAACTGTCATCTCATAAATTTCAATATATTTTCTACTCTATCTTAATCACCGAGTACCAGCAACGAATAAAATAGTTTTTTTTCTTCAAATATAATGGGAAAAGTATTGAATCATTAAGCTTGACTATTATTACTTCAATTCAAACCAAAATACTTAAGTAGGTATTAACAATGGTAATTGAGAAAAAAGACTAAGACAAAAATAATAGTTAGCATTTAACACAATAATTTAAACTAAACGTCCTAACCTGTTGCATGCACAAAGTTCATTAATATGGTGATAGGCGGGAGATTAAGAACAATAATTGTAGATGGGTTATATCCACGATACACCTATAATAAAGTCGCATACTTATAGATTATAGAATGAGAAAATTTCCGGGACCATAACTAGACAGATTATTACTGAGGTTTATGGCTATAATCACGATCATTAGTTCGATCATTGATTATAAATACCACTATTTATAAACAATGATTCAATAGAAATGGCTACTTCCACGATATTGTAACAAAACTAATATTTGTGAATTAAAAATCGGATCAATTTCTTGTGTCCACCAAACCAATTTCTAATTTTAAGACTCGTATTTAAATGGTTTTCTAATAAAATAATTAATGCAGATTTTATATTTTCAACAGTTCAAATTTCAGAAATTAAATGTAAATACTAACTTTTAAAATATTTCGAGATGATAACATAATAAAAATAGTAGAGTAATCAATAATATTATGTATAATAATTAATAGCATAGATGCATAAATAGTATATTTAATATTACTCTATTTTTTTTTTTTTTTTTTATTGTTAGTTTTTTGTATATTTTACAACCATAGATATTACTCTAAATATAACAGTTTTTTCGGAAATATTTGGTCAAGAGAACAGGATTATAGGATATTAGGATGGTTTTGAAGGGGGGGAGATATCAATCTAGTAATCAATTTTATAGTTTTATCATTGTAATCCATATTCCAAAGAAATAGGAAAAATTGACAAATGACAATATACCTACATGGTACTGGTACATACTTGATTTATTTATACCTATCCAAAATTCCAAACAAGTAACAACTTTCATACTCTTCATAGTTCATAGTTCAATTAGTTTTCATTATGACAACTAATCTAAATAACCTCTGCTCTGACCACTCTTTTTTTTCTATAAAATATTGACATACTTCATTAAAGAAACCAAAACAACCAAGCCTCATCCAAGGCCAAATGAACTCGAAATAATTTAGATCAACTCTTGAAAATTAAACCAATCTAAAAGTTAGCTTCAAATCTCCAAAAGTCAGAAGATATAAACAGTAAATCTTTTAATGAAATTAATATAAGAACCGTCTGGTAATGTTTCACTCACACTCTTCCAAAAAAATCTAAATAGAAATTTCCTCTACATATTATAATCCTTATATCAGAAAAACGAATAGCTCGCAACATCTAACAAAAAAACTAAGTATCCTTCTGATAAACAAAAATTCAACAACCTTACAAACAAATTCAAAAAAACTTCTAGCTTCAATTAAATCAAAAAACTATTAAACCTCATTTTTTTATCATCCACTGATAATTCACTTTGGAAAACCAAATTAAAAATATTTAATTTATATTTTAAATATCTAATTATTCTTTTTTTTTAATTATATATTTTATTTTCATAGGTATGACCGAAATCCAATGTATAATAGTTATACATTTTTTTTTACAGTAGTTTTTAGGCTGTAATTTATGTGATATTTATTTATTTATGGGTAGCCGGGTAGGTAATAGAAGCAAAACGAGTGGACCGAGGACAGTCCAGCGGTTAAGGTGGACGAATGATGTACCCCTTCGCTGTTCATGATATAGGTAACGAACAGGAACGCGCATAGGTGGGCACGTCTTTTTTCGACCAAAAACATACCCTTCTCTTTTCAACCAAATTCAAAATAGGTCGATTCCCTTTTCGACCAAAATCGTACCCTTCCATTTTCAGCCGATTCACTTTTAAATCAAATTTAAAAAAACACATTATACCCTTTTTGACTAAAATAAAATTTTATATATTTAAAAAAATAAAATAATTAGTGTATATTTGTAAAATTGGAGCACTGGGCAATTATATAATTATATAATTTTGAAAATGATTAAAAGTATGAAATGCATAAAATGTTGTACAATAAAATGTAGAAAATTATTTAAAATATAAGAATATCGACATATTAACATTATTTTTATGTTAATATGTTACAGTATGTAATATGTATTAATATTATATAAAAAAATAAAATTTAAACCATATAAGTATATGTGTGACATATTAACATAAAAATGATGTTAATGTATAGATGTTTTTATATTTTAAATAATTTTCCACATTTTATGCAATTTATACTTTTAATCACTTTCAAAATTATATAATTCGCCACATGGTACAGAAAATTAAACCCTACAATTCCATTTAAGCCATGGTTCCATAACTTAAAATTATCTCGCAAAGCAATCAGCTCATTTTCTCGTCTCCGTTTTGGCCACACTCTTCTCCCCTCACATTCCTTTAAATTATCTCTTAACGACTCTCCGCTCTGCATTTTCTGTCATTCTCCAGACATCTGCGACATAAACCATATTATTCTGTTCAAATGCCCTGCCCTGCACACAAAGCGCCTACAACTTTTTTCTATTCTCCACTCTCTAAATATCACTCCCAACTCTCACCACATGTTTACTTCTCAACCCCCCTGCTATCCTTGCAACAATTGCTTTTATCACTAATTCCGGGCTGCTTATATAAATTATTCCGTTGTATATAAATACCTGTATATTTAATTAAATAATTGTCGAAACTAATCGTTACACAAAGTTTCTATAAAAAAAAAAAAAAAATTATATAATTATTATAATTATAAAATTTCCCTAATTTTACAAAAAATTATATACCTAGGTACCAATTATTTTATTTTTTTACATACATTATATAAAATTTTGTTTTGACTGAATAGGGAAGAGTGTGATTTTGGTCAAAAAAAAGAATCGGTGTTTTTTTAATTTGGTCGAAAAGTGAATCTGCCAAAAAGTAGAAGGTACGTTTTTGGGTCTCACCCGCATAGGCCAGGTCATTGGTATTCAAATACTTGTCCGTTACTCATTCTGTAAAACCGTAGCCGTCGTGCGCAACTTAGCTAATAGCTTTTTAGCAATAAATCTAATAACCTAAAAAAACATATTGATACACATATACAATAACTTCTGAGCCTTATTGTATACTGTATAGTTTAGTAGTTCACAGCATTATAAAGTAACTATAATTAATCATTAAAATATTTAAAGGTATTTTTTAAATGTTTAAAAAAAAGTAAAAATCAGATTATTGCAAAAATAATATATTTGTCGCTTCACTAATAATCTAAAATTATGATTACAATATTAGTCTATTAATTTCACAGCCTTAAAATTGAATTATTAAATTATTACCTATTATTTAGTAGGAATATCTTCACCGATATGTATCATAATTTGCCTTAAACTTAAACCAGTTAAACCATATAATGATATAAATATTAAAATCTATTCTTCAAAATTTATTTTTAAAAATTTTTGAGACAAAATAGGACCAACAAACGTCGTCACGATCAATTGTAAAAGGTGTTAAATTTATTTTAGTCTTAAATTTAAGGAACAGATAACAATATGACATGTAACGAATAGACCTCCATACTACTTCTGTTAATGCGAAAATGAGATTTATTTAATTTTTATCTGTAAATTTAGGTATCAATAACTCTGCAAAACCTTCAATTTTAATTCTATAGTTGTTTGATTTTTTTTTATATTTGTTAAAATTATCATATTTTATTCAAGTGATGTATCATTTAAAGTAAATTCGTTAAAATAAACTAATACATCGAATAAGTATTACAAATAAAATACCATTATTCATTAGTAAAAACGTTGTACAGCATAGTTTTATATATGTGCATTAATTATGAAGCTACTTTAACAGTAACATCAACACTTAGTTTTACTAATAAGTAGTCCTTGCACAGTGTACTAAAAAATAAGTACCTAATCTGATTTTTACTCATAATGCAATTATTTAATAACATTAATCTAGGATTATTTCTATACATTTTTAATGTCAAAACTTTTTAAATAACTTGGTAGGAATTTAAGAACTCAAATGAAAAGTAATGATAAACATTAAATAATAAACTTATTTATGTATTTATTAAAATTAAATATGATTTAATTATTTAATTTTTCGAAAAGCGCGGGAAACATTTCATATTAACTACGTGATAAGAAAATAAATTTTAAAAGTGAAGACACGCCAATCTAAACGATTATATTTCTGAATAAATCGATTCAAAAGTTAAAACAGTTTACACACCGATTATATCTCTGGAAGTTTGAACGATTTATTGAACCGTTTAAGAGAACTGGTCTATCGAATTTTTTCAGCAGGTGTTAACTTTTAGTAATTAGTAATTATAGCTTTATAGGAGAAATTAGAGATAAGAGATAAATATATTCTGTATTTCTGTGATAGTGTGATGATAATACCGTATTTGATTGAGGGTGGTTGCTACTTGCTGCTTAAATGATGGATTCACTTTTTCACTTGTGTTTACAACGTTAAATATTTTATAGATAAACCTTAATTTTTAAAAATTTTCTATTAAAATTAAAACTATTAGTTACATAAAAAATGACTTTGTATCATTTTGGTAATTGTGTCACTTTATTATACGTGCCACACTATTTAACGTACAAATACGCAAATCTGTGAGTAAACTAGATGCATTCTTGGTACCGGTAGTTTTCATTTTTCTTTTTTAGATCTGAGTATGGAGCATTTTGGAAGTGTATACAAGGTGGTATTATTTATACGTTTACTCAGCTGTGCAAGATGTTGATTTTAGCAACGTTCTTTCCGGCCAACGAGGCGTCCATGACCACATTGAGTTTAACAGTAATGACATGCAATATTAATAAACGTATAAACGTCCCATTTAACTCTGTATTCTTATTTTTAGAATTTTCTCAAAAGCTCTGTTGATTTAGCAGACATTGCTGGAATCTATGTTATATTGCAAAGCATACCTGGCAAAGGACATGCTAAGGTAATGACGGCAGGCATTGGCTGGGCGGGTGCTGAAATATTATTGACCAGATTTCTACTTTTATGGGTTGGTGCAAGAGGCACAGAATTTGATTGGAAGTATATACAAAAATGTCTAGAATCTAATATAAATTTGGTGAGAAACTTAACTAGTAATTAATAGATACCTAATAAGCTTATGAAAATTAAGGTAGCTGAAAAATAAGCTTTATTTTAGCAGTTATGAAAAAAATCAATTTCTAATATTGAATTTATGTAATATAAATTAAAATAAAATATGTATTTGCATTAATATAATTAACTTGTTAATAATAAATTTTAAAAATAAATTTCATCATAATGTTAATTGTATATTAATTATTTTTAGATGCATCATATAATGACTGCTGCATTAGTGTGGTTATGGTCCAGACATGATTTATCTAAATTACAATCAAAATTTTCACCATTTGCTGCAGTCAGTATTCTTCTATTGTTGTCTGTTTACCGTTCAGTAATTATAGACACTCTCGCTGCTTGGCTTTTAATTGATCCCTGGTCAATAATTGCTATCAAAGGAGTTTACACAATTGTTCTAGGTTTAATTATGCTAAAATATTATACAAGACTTTCAACATTAATTGGGATGTATTAAAAAATATAAAAAATAATTATAAAATATTCAAAATAAAAATATACATATACTTTATAATTATATTCTTATAATTATTATTATTTTGTATTGTATTTATTTTATATTCATACATTGTAAATTTGTTACACTTCTTATAGTTCCACTCAACCTAAATAATCTGAAATTACATTTTAAATTTCATCAAAACTATAGCTACTAAATATTAATTATACTATAGTTCATGTATTAAAAACAATTTTAGCCTGTGTGTTTACATTCATATTATATAAAAAGGTTTATACTGTAGTGGTTAAAGAAATTAATATATCTTATATACTCTTTAATTCCTGAACCTCGCCATTTTTCTTTGGGTACATATCACTAGATCGCTATCACCTCTTAAAATCTCTTTTATAACAAAGATTTTTAAATTTTAATTTCACAACAATTTATTTAATAATTACTTATTATTAAGAAGACACTACCTGAGTGCATTGTCTCCACCCTACAAATAGGTATATAAGAAATCCGTTAAACTCATTTATATTTAATACTACAGTGAATTTACCTATTATTAAATTTTTAAATATATATTTTAGTTTTAAAGTAATGAATATTTATAAAATCTTATAATAGGTTAATTCACTGTAATATTAAACATAAAAGATAACTGGTAAATTGCTATTTTTATTTGTATTTCATAGTGATTTACAAATTTAACGGTATAGAATGCTGCAATATTTTATAAATAAAATATACTAATAATATATTAAAAATATAATGACCAAAACAAATACATTTACAAAAAATGCACTTCAGCTTAGTTTATATTTAATATTACAATTGTTAAAAAAAAAAAAAACAGATTACTCAATGTAAAATTATGAAAATTTGAAATCAGATAACATGTTAAAAATAAGGAAAATATAAAATTTTCTAAATCCTCAACAAATTGACTTTATTTCTGTTATATTCCTAGAAAGCAGAAATAGATTAAAATTGCCTTAAAACTTCAAGCACATGAAAAATTAAAATAAATTATTTCAGTTGCACTTAAGACATATTTGAAATCTTGAAAGCGTATTGTGTATGACAATACAAAACAAGAAACCAACTTAATGAAATCCAAATTTTAATAATTATTTAAATAATATAATCTATGTATAATGTTCAATAAAAATTTGAATTATTTTATTTTCAGTTTGGGCAATTAATAAATTTATATGATAAAATGGACTATAATATATTTAATTTATGCATAAAAACTCGTTATCTATTTTAAAAAACCTGACATTATATTTTTAATTTTGGATTCACTAGTTTTCAATACTTAAATCCAGTATGAAATTCTAACCATATCAGCTAAATCAACAGAGTTGTATTATACATTTTCTTTTATGTATTTGTGTGGCCCTGGTGTTGTTGCGAATTAGTCATGTCATTTATTAGGTTTATGGCTCTATGAATTTAGAATAAAAATTTCTATTACTTTTAAACTCTAATAATTTATGTAAAAAGCTTAAAAAATTGTATATAAGGTTTCTCATATTATTTTTAAACCATAATGAAATTTTAAAATTATTAAGATCGATTTTAATTTATAGAACTAACTTATTTTCACCATTCTTTGATTTACTAGTATTTATTTATAAGTAGGGCTAGGATGTTTAACAATTTACTTCAATATGCATGTGTTTACGCTTTAAAAAATTACCAAATATGGAATTTTACTTTTTTTTTTTAAAAATATAAAAATATATAAAACTATTTATGTTAGTCATACTTTAAAAATTTAATTATTCACTAAATACATTTTTATAAATTATCAGATTCATAGGAATAAAAAAAAACTGGTATTAAAATAATTTTTTAAAGTTGTACTCGTTATAAATTAATAAACATTGAAATTCAATATTTTAAATTTTGTATTAACTTTGAGTATATATGGATTTATGTAATTTCATTTTATTACAACGATTAAATTATTCTTATTACAATTAATGCAATGTTTTAGACAAAAATTAAATTGACTTACTGTTATACTAAAAAAAAAAATGGAGTTTGTTTAATAGCAATATAAAAATATAATGAAATATACTTAGTAATATATGCCGATAGACCGGTTTTTCTGAAAATCATTTTTCTCATGCAATGGTTTGTCATTAAATTCAAATTTAACAAATAAATTATGTATAAAGATTTGATTCAATAAGTAGGTAGACCTATTATACAGCAAATCAGTTACCTCTTTCTTCTTTTTTTAAATTATGTTAATAGTTAACATTAAAATATATTCAGTCTTTGAATCACTCAATATCTAAATTTCAATACCACAAATTCACAAATTGAAAATAATAACAATAAATAATAAATACTTTTTCTTAAATGTAAGTATATAGTAAATTTATGAATAATAGATTTATTACATAAACTCCTCAGAAAATAATCAAATAACCTTTTAGTTTAATTTTTAAAGAATAATTATTTTAAAATGATACCCTTGTGCACACATCAAGTATGCGTAATTTAATAATTTATAAGCATAATTATTTTGATTTAAAACCATTAGTTACAGTCAACTGGAAACTGATCAGTTATGTTATTATCATTGATTTTGTTTTCAGTGCAGTAAATTTTGTAACGGTTAAATTGATTCATAAACTGAAGTTCACAAAACTTTGTACTTAAATAGTTTAAGATTCAATTTTTTAGTTTAGATAATTAATAAATAATGGTTGAAAAAACTTGAGTAAAAAATAAACCTATAACAAAAGGAATTAATAATAATTAAAGAACGAGTAAAAATTACTCGTTGCACATCAATATATGTCTTAGTTAAGTTTTCTGTAAGTATTAAATAATCTTCATTTCTTTAAACTTTTTTGTATAAATATTTGTATACTAACTTTGTTATACAAGACATAACATAAAAACTAGATAATTTTTAATTTTGATAAAAATGAGATTTTTTTTAATAAAATTTTTTTAAGAGTGTTGTTAAAAACAGACTTGAGAGAGAATAGTACAATATGTATTGAAATATTCTTACAGTGTTAAAAAATAATTTACAAATTTACAAATATAATACCTAATAATATGGGTAAATTGTACAAGTTAATAAAAATTTTTTTAACAATTTTATACATGAATTCAAGTCTTTTTTTCTATAAGATAATAACCAATATGAAATGCTGTGACTGCTGCGTGTGTAACAGTCGCTGTACACCACAGTTCCATTAATTTTCGTCAATCCCCCACTTAATGGCCTAACAAATTTATACAAATGGTGTTCCGAGTGTTCTGACTAAGCTGCACACCAAATGGTGTGTATTACATAACTTCAATGAATTGTAGGAGTAATATTTTTGAGTATATAAGTGAAGATAAATTTTTTTTAAATTAATATAATATTAAATAATAAATTATTATTGTTAAACTTAAATTGTATAAAAATTGAAAATGCATTTTTACTATTTATCTGTATTAGTTTATATGGTGTGCGCATACTTGCACACCTAAGGATCATAGTGAATGATACAACTTTAATTTTTAAATTACAATAAATTCATTAAATAGACAAAAAATTTGTAATTAAAAGTCCATCATGACCACATGATGTCAATGATAATTTATATATCATATTAAATTTACACTTTAAACCTAAAATTAAAAATAAATACAAATTGAAAAAAAAAATTAATTGTAATCTATTTTATAAAATGACTTTATTCTTATCATTTATATAATATTATATACATAACTATATTTAAAAAAAAAATGTACATTAAAAAAAAAAATAAATAAAAACTTATCATCTAATTGTATGGTAATTATAAAATGTTATTGATAAATTATTATTTTTAATTTTAAAAATGTATTCACCTATTGTAGTTTTAGCTCTTTATTATGATGCAATATATGAAATTTTCCGGAATAAAATAGGCTCATTAATATTTGTCAAGTTTAAGCTTTATATGAAATACTCATTAGAAGTTTATTTGAATAAACCTCAGTAAATTCAATTTATAATAACTAAAATGTAAGATTTTTAAGTATTAAATAATAATGAAATATATATTAAAATGTTTAATATTACATCATAATACTAATTTACTATTTTCTGAGATTTTTTTTTTTTCAGTCGTTGAGATACATTTAAAGGTTCCCATATTTTAATAGTTTTATCCAGACCACTAGTTGCTAAGGTTGGTATATGTGGATGTGCTTCTAATACATTAACCTAATAACAAAAAATATTATAAGGAATATCATTTTCAGAGTAAAAACATCAATCTTACACTTCCACTTTTATCAGCATGTTTTCTTTGAACTATAGCTTCTGTTTCTTTATTCCATATATAAATATATCCACTATCTGATCCAGATATTACATAATCACTTCTTGGTCCATAAAAATTGACACCTTTAACTAGATCCAAAATAAATTATATTTTAGTAATTTATGTATAATTAATATTTACTGAAACAAATATCAAAACATTTACTAAAATTATAAAGGGAAATAGCTAGTAATAAGAGAACGTTAAAGTAAAAACTTGATTAATAAAAATTATCACTTTGTGAAGCAACTATTAATATATATATTTTTTTATTAAAATAAATTAAATACTTGTCATCCTATTTAAATGGCCACTATAATTGTGTAAAACAGAATTCGAACGACCATTAGCATCAAATAAATAAATATCATCTTCACTGTAAGATGCTAAAATTTCAGTTCCACAATAACTATACACAGCAGATGTAATATATGATAAATATTGTAAAGAAGACGATGCAAAACTTGAAATATCATCCTCATCATAGTCAGAATCAACATTTATGCTAGCACTAGCACCAATGTCAGCAACATGAACAGCACCATTATCACTGCTATCATCACTATTATCAGTACCATTAATAGCACTGTCTTCAGTTTCATTAATAATACTATAACGTTTCTGTAAAATATTATTTCAAAATTTTTAAAATACTAATAAGTTTAATTCAAATATGTTCAGTAAATCTATTTACTTTTTCTGTTTTATTATTTTTTATTTCACGACGGAATTGTTTAACTGGATCCACACTTATTTTTCTTTTATCATACATTCTTACATATTCATCATCACCATTTACAATAAACTCATATGGTTTCATAGGATTAATGTCAATACAATATAGATGCATAGAAGTACCGTGCACATTTTTGACATGTAGTATACTAATCAATAGAATAATAGACATATAAATTATATTTAATACATTTTCTAACTAAGCTTTATTAGGGTTTAATTAAGTTTTAAATACAGGTTAGTAATTGTTTATCATTATCAATGACTATTATTTATATTGTAAAATATTTTAAAAACTTAAGTATTTTAGATATTAACTAAGTTTATAGTTTTAAATAAACAAATTAAAGTGATACTTCTTATAAATAAAATTAAAATTTGTTTAATACTTAAAATTAATAATTTTTTTTTTTTTATAAGTTTATTATTTTCACATTTTTAAAATAAGGATTTATATTATCTGATTATTTAAAAATTAATAGTTGGTAATTCACCAATAAACATAATGAAGATATTACAATTTTAGTACTGCATATATATTAATTATTTATTTTGTAAAAAAAAAATATAGGTACTATTTAAATCATCAAACATTTTTATTTCTTACTTGGTAATCCTTTCATTTTCAGTAATAGGAGATTCACGAATGTCTATATTTTTAACAATTCCGTCATTTCCACAACTAAGAACTACATATGGTGAACCAGGATGTACACCAACTTTATTGCAAGAGGTATCATGACGTGCTATTATTTTGCTATAAATAAAATCATAATTATTTATAGCAGATAATACAACTAAGCCATCCCGGCCACTTGATACAATGTGGGTACCTCCAAATGTATTGACAAATTTAGTCTATAGAAATAATAATTAACAGAGTTAAAATCTTATATGATAGAATATAATAAACTAAAAAATTAATTTACTTGAAAAATATTTCCCGTATGCAAACTACTGTAATTAAGTAAGCACTTTCCATTTGACCAATTCCATAAACATACTCTATAATCATCTGATCCACTAGCCATAACTTCACCACTTTTATTAAAATCTAGTGAATTTACACATCCTTGGTGGCCTCTTAGTTTTCTACTCAATTTGAGTTTTCGCACACTAACAGCTGATTGATAAAACTTATAACTCCACTGAGAGCGGCAGTTATAATGGCCAATTTCCCTAAACAAAATCTAAATTATTTTATTAGCTAAATACAAGACATTTACCTTATAACCTGTTATATAATTCTTTAGGAAGACACCAATAACTGGACTTTAAACGATGGTTTTTCATTTTAATATGCCTTTGTTTGGATAATTTAAATCTCAATGAATGTATTGAACTACGAGATGAATCATCATCTGAACGGTCTAATTCATCAGAGTTGGTTAATAATGCATCACTCTAAAATGATAAAATTAAAATTAAAATTAAATTAATTAGGTAAGGACTTTGAATACTTACATCACTAGATCTAGAACCAAAATTATTTAAATCAGGATGAAAGTCACTATCCGAAGAATGATCTGTTCTGAAGTCTGGAATTTCAATATCGGGTTCATAATGAAAGCCATGACGATAACCCAAATAATGGTTGAAAAAAGGAGATGAATTGTTATTGTCACTATCTGTTGATGAATCGGAGTCTGTATCAGACATATTTCTATGGACATTAATAATTAATAATTAATGTAGAACATCGGTAAAACAATTCTATATTAAATAATAAATATACCATATTATACATTTTAAATCCAAATAGTCTAATAACTTGGATTTTATAATCACTAAAATCTTGGTAATATTATATAACCTAATAAGTTGTACAATATGCCAAAAACAAAAAATTAGCAAAAACAAAAATGATTTTTTTTATATTAATTATTGTTTGTGACTTATTACCTAATAATGTTCAAATGTATATTTAAACTTTTAAAAATAAAAAATAAATTAAATTAAATTAAATTGAATTTTAATTTTAATTCCAAAACAATAATCTTTATAATCACTAGAAAAATAAATACGGGTTATTGTAATCTGTTTTGCTGATTTTTTTATGGAACTTTTCTTATTAAACTATTTAAAACAAACAAAAAACAAATCAGATTTTAAACATTAATTAACAAAGAGTAAATCTAAGTAAATGAAACTTAAAATTTAAAATACTTTCAGTATATAACATAAAATTTTATCTTTGGAATATTTGATACATTAACTTAAAATAAATTTATGGTTATCTTTGATATTTTATTTGTATTCTATAATAACAAGTAAATTCTTTGTAATTCGAGCACTTCTAATGTCTATGATTAAAACATACATAGAGTGCTAGACAATAATGTAAAAATAATAAGACACTGGAAAACTGCCTTTTGGATGTTATTTTTGCAAATAAATAAATTATTATCTACAAATATCTAGTATTAAAATATAAACTTATATTTAGATTTAATAATTAACCCTACACATGATATAAGTTACTATGATTTAAAATAATTCTTTATTTATTTTAAATAACTATACTTTTATTAAAAATTACAATTTTTAAATTCATTAATATTTGAACTTAATATATCTAGTATTTGTTTGGTAATCTAAAAAGTTGTTTAAAAAATTATTTAAATTAAATTTTCTATAAGAATAAGCATTTAGTATTATAGTGGTGGTTTGATTTTAAAATATTTTATTAGATAGGTAATAACAAATAATAATAATATTAATTACTTATGACTAATCAGTAATCACAAGTAGTTTATTTGAAAGTAATGTCAAATTCTTTATTCACATAATACCAAGGTATAACAGAGTATAGTTGGCAGACAAAATACAAATTTACATTTCTAATAGATATTATAAAATAATAAAATAAAATATAAATTAATAATATTATTACTTACAAAATGAGAAGTAATAATAAAGTACAATATTGTGAAAATTGTTCTCTGAGGCGAGCCCAATTGTAGTATAGCAATAAAGGCGATTTGGATTACTTTCAAGACAATAACATGTATCGCCACGTAAAATTATTCTCAACAATTTGGTTGTTGGTTATGGCAATCACGGAAATCTAAATCATTACATATTGCAAAACTTATGGCACATTAAAATAACAAAAACATATACGATAAGACATAGATATTGCTGTGTTAAGTACATCTCATTGATCGAATATCTTTAAAATTAAAACGTAATTCGTACTTACTACTTAATATACGGAAATAGTAATACGGTACGAAAAATCGAAAACAATATTATGTCAGGTTCTATTGTAATGTAGGTAGTAGGTACTACAATAGTACAATATCAGTGTTCAACTAATTTTCATATCACACATTCACACTATCGTAGTACCGTCTATCAGAAATGGGCTGTAGGTAGTCTGTAAAGTTACGCGAAAATTTATAACAATGAAAAAATAACCCATTATTTTACCACAACTACAGAATAATTAGAAAGTAGAAATGAGAAAAAAACACTTTTTGAGGCTTTTGAGCACTCAAAATTTTTCAATTTGTTGAAATATCAGTGTATCCATTAATTTATCAGAAATGCAAAATTATTTTTGTTTAGTAACACTGATTTTCCAATGTAACTTACATTTTTAATTGTTTGCAAAATTTTCGGTATTACAGTTTCACTAGAAAAATAGAATAATGGGAAATATATTTTTACCGCTAGCACTGATATTCCAACAGGTATTGCAAATTTGTGTACCCCATAAGAACTCGTGTTAAACTCATTTTGTCCTTTCTGGTTAATGCCGTTAATGGTTTTTCTGTGCCACAAGTCACAACTCTACTGTTGAATGTTAATTATCTTTTATCCAATACTTATTATAGAATAATATTATGTCGATATTGATTTTACCGTTTATATATTATTTCCGATATGCATTTAGGACATTTAGGTAAAACAATATTTAACAATTTATATTATATAATTTGTATGTACAATATTATGTTAATTGTGGATTATAAAAAGTGGATAAAATTGAGCTCATTGTTGAGTGTTATATTTCACAGTATTTTTTTATTTTAATATATTAATCAAAGATGCTGTAGGTAAAAAATTGGTAACATTGAATTATAGCCTTTATTTAAAACGAATGAGCTTTCTAATTAATGAAAAATGATTTATACCGTATTTATTTGAATAGTTCACTTATGCCTGCATTGCATTATTTATGCAATTATAGCAACGTTATACGTATTACCTATTATTTATTAATAATTAAATTAGTTAGTAAGTATAGCCCGATAAAGATAGATAATGCAGTAGGTAATATGAATTTTATTACGTAAATTATTACTAATTTACTATTGTAGTCATTAGAATTTCTTAACAATCAGTAGCTGAACACACATTTACCAAAAAAAATTGAATTCGACTTGAGATTATTTTAAATATTTTATTTGTTAACATATAAGTTTTTGTAACCACGAATTAGGTAGTTGAATATCATAATTGACTTATAATTAGGGCTAGAGACATAGGATATAGATATATTCAATAACCATTCAAAACATACCCTATAATATACATAGAAATGTGTTAAGTGCTTGAAATTTAAAGCAATCATTTTTATTTTGCATATGAGCTCTATTTTTCTTTTAAATGCATATTTTGTTATATTTTTATTTTTAGTACATATTTAACATATTTTGTTAAAAAATAATTAAAACAATGCGTTCCCATAAAGAATAATTTTTTATACATACTATACAATATTCAATATCTATTAAATTTTTCTTAAATTTAAAAAAAAAGGATTTAAATGATTAAATGATTAAATATATCTATTGTGTGTCTTCCCAATAATTATTAATGCATTGTGAAAAATTTGAAGCCAGTGATAAGAAATATGTCAATTTCAGTCAGTTATTGTCAATTGTCTGATGGCAATTTGTTTTTGTCTGGCATTAATATAATTACTAATTAGTATTCGAGACTATAGGTTCAGTTTTGTTGTAAAAATTAAATTTAAAATGCCTTGTTTAATAATAAATACATTTTTAATTTTTGGTTTTTTTAATGAAATATTAAAATGGTACATTCAATTACACCAACTTAATACACATTATTTAAAAAATATAAAAAGGTTTCGCAATTGTTTTTATAGTTTAGATTTTTACACTCACATAATTAAGTTTTTTTCTGTATTTTTTGTGTTTTAAATATCATACACATAATATAAATTTAAAGAAATTTAAATCAAATTTGATATAAAACTTATTACAAGAAAAAATAATTTTAAGAAATTCATTATTTAACTTAATTATTTCATCTTTTAGATTTTAACAATATTGTAATATATTTTTAAAGTTTTGTACATTTTATTTTACAAAATTAGTTTCTACTTTTGATATTATTTACGAGTCTAAATTAGATGAGGTAAGGATAAAATAAACAGTATAACATAATTAATAGTTATAATTATTTAATAAATTTTATATTAAATGTTTAAAAGAAATAAATACATATACTTAAAATAACAAAAAACTAGACAGTAGAATAATGTCCTTCATTGCGATGAATGTCTGGGCCTTGGGATAAATCCTATTCTTTCTTGTACAACTTCTTGTTTGGTTTTTATGTTACTGTTTAAAAGAGGACCATAAAGATTTTTTTGTTTTTCTTCTTTAGCTTTTTTAATAGTTTCATAGTGATTTTTGATATCTGCAAATTCGCTTAAATCTTCAATCCTGAGCTCTATTCTTGTGGGATTTAATCTAATCATTATTACCTAAATAAGTTAGAAGTGTTAATTATTTTGAAAGTTTTGACACAGAGAAAACTTATTAACTATTGAGCCATACACAATTTAAATTAAATATTTTAATCATTTAATTTGAGATATATATAAACCAAGATAAAAATAATAAATAACTTGGTAGATTTAAAAACTTGAAATTAATAATTAGTACTTATTAATAACACAATATAATTATTAAATTATCAGTTTTACATTAAACTAAAATAAATACAAATTATACTATTGTTCTGTTAATTAAAAATTAACAGTCAATTAAAACTAGTAACCAAAAAAACAATATTTACTTACACAGTTAATTAGTCGCTGTTGGTGAATATTTACTAGTCACTGACGAGTGACGACTAACTCTACTGTAAGATTTTGGATAGTTGTACAGCATACGCTTTGAAATAGACTCTTCGAGTTAAAAAATGTATCAACTTTCGTTCGCAACTAGTTATGAGTTTATAACTTATAAAGTTATAACTTAGGTATCGTAGTATCATTCGTATAATAGAAATGTAGATAATATCGTTGCTTATGGCTTATACTGCAGTGCAGTCTGCAACAAAACGTATTTTAGTTTTTTTTTTGTTTTTCAGGATTATCAAAAGATGTAAGTAGTATTATCATTTTAGTGATAACAGTGTAACCACGAGTACAAAAACGGCATAAAAACTTCACGAGGGAAATATTAAACGAGACGTATAGTATATATATTTGGAAAAGAAATTTTGCATTTATACCGTATCCACACGGACACGGCACCCACAATTGAAAATAAAATTAATGATAAAGAGTATTATGGCCGAGTAGATTGAGCCTACCGCAGGTGCCCGACCATGGTCTAAGAACAAATTATAATATTTCTTAAGAGGACGTCGTACCCGCATATGTTGTCTCCGTCTTACAAATGCGTAACATGGCAAATAGTAGGTACTCTCAAAAGATCACGTTTAGCTCCTTCAGCTTGAAAATTAGAATGAATTGACTTCTTTTGAAATTTAAAAGTGAGATTATTATCTAGGGCATCTCATAGGCTTTTTATTATATTTTAATTTTAAAGCAAGTTATGAGTATTTTAAAATTGTAAATTGCTTGCACGTCTTAAAACACACATAACTCGCTTTAAAATTAAAATATAATAAAAAGCCTATGAGATGCCCTAGATAATAATCTCACTTTTAAACTTCAAAAGAGGTCAATTCACTCTAATTTTCAATTTAAAGGAGTTAACCGTGATCTTCTGAACGTAATATTTGCTATGTTACGCATTTGTAAGACGGAGATAACATATGTGGGTACGACGTCCTCTTAAGCCAGAATTAATAAAGTCGTTTCTTGTGGCTGCGGTACGTCTCGGACTGCCTCATACACACGATCATTATAAAGAAAAAAAATGCTTAAAATGCAAGAGAGAGTAATATAACAGAATACTGGCCACGGTAAAATAAATATATATTTATTCATAATTATAACTGAGGTATACTTGGTACATTTACGCTTCATTTCGATGACCCGGTTCGCAGAGATCTATGAACGCACCGGTTAATGAGCGGTACTACTCGTAATCAAGGAGCCTTACACGGGTTAAAAGCGGGAGAAATATTTTAAACACAGAACTGGTCATCCGAAGACAGCAATTCCACAGGTGTGAACGATGGAAACGGAGTTGAAGAAACACGTTATTCACAAAGTGATAGGATCGAATGAAAAAAATTGATTTTATTAATTGGCCAGTGTTCTATTTACGCACTAGTATATTTATATAATCAAGTGTGTCAAACAGTATGCGTCGACGGTGAAGCGAAGAGAGGGTGCTCATTTAGTGTGGTGGTGCTATCGTTGTAAAATATAACACCGACCAGAGGAGGCTAATATCTATATTAGCACTGTATGTCTGTATGTTACGTAGATTACGTTCTGTAAGTGTATGGTGTAATTTCTAACGTTATAAATGTTACTTATAATATTCTATTAAGACATAGTTATATACTTATATATAGTCATATATATTATATATACCTATTATTTTTATAAATATATTATGTAAAATAAAAATTTAAAAAATGATCGCGCTGTAAAACTTTCTAAACAGAGGCTACCTTTAAAATAAACTAACTCACAGGTTTTTCTAAACTTATAAATCTATCTACGTATATGTATATCGTATATAAGTATATATATTTTACACAGTCAATATGGACAACAATCTATAATCATCATATTCATAATAATCTTATTAATAGCAATTATAACTACAGATTTTATTCTACGACACAATTAATAACTATTTTTTATCTAAATTTTTTAGATACCTAGGTATTTAGTAGGTACTTCTTAATAATAAACAATAATTCATAAATTCATAAACAATATATAGTACTAGATACTTAATTATTTTAATAAAAGTTATTGTGGTATGTTGTTAGAATTTTATTATAATACCTAGTAATAGTCAAACTGACTAAGTTTGGAAGTAATTAATAACTACCTAGGTTATTACTGTTATTAGTTTATTTTGTTTTTTACACAAGTTGCATGGTTGCATCCTACCTATTATCTACATAAATAATTTAAATTTTAAATTTTTGAAAGTAATATCAGATAATCGATTGTGTAAATTACCTAACTTTTACTAATTTTTGACAGTGTTATAAATACTTGATTAACCATTTACATCAGCGATAACTATAATACTATATCAACGTCATAGCTTAGTTGATGTTCGTCCATAAAGGATTCCACTGCCCGCGTCATTTAGGTTTATATAAGTATATAACACCCACTACTTATTGTATACTCTTGTATTTTTGATGTTTGATACATTTATTATAAAATATATACACTTTCGTCTGTCAAATATAATTCTTATAATAACATCAGAGTATCAGACCCTCGAGCCTCATATAGTTTCATAACTTTAAAATGGCTCTACGTTCACAAAATTTACATTTATTAATATTAACAATTTTAGATGTACAGATAATTTTGTTTTTTTAATGCGCATTTGTAAACTTTGCCCGAAATGTTATCTATGTTAAAAAGGTAGGTATGATGTAAACTGCGCTCGAATTTTTATCTATATTAAAAATATGTAATGTACCTAAACTGCGCCCGACAACTTAAGCTGTACCCTGTTTGTAAAATATACAAAACTTTTGACTTATTAAAGTCTCTATGATAGTGCACTTTTTCAATCAAATCACAGAAATTTAATTTTCATCTAGAAATACCAACACTTTATCAGATAACTATTGCATTCTAAAATAAACAAAAAAAAAAAAAAAACGTAAAAAGTTACAGAGTTTATTTAATCAATATGATAGTGGTCAAACTCAAATTAATTTATATGTAACAACGATGTATTATTATTTGTAATATTTTTAGTTATTTTACTTTTTAAAATCGTATTTTTTTTTTTTTTAATTTTAATTATTTATATTATATGGTTGTAATGAATTAAGTATACATTAAAAATAATTTTGCAAAAATATAGCTATTAATTTTTAAAATTTTACTGGGCGCAGTTTACACGTCACCTTTTTACACTTGATAAAACTCGGGTATAATTTACATATGTAATTTTGGGTTTATCTGTATTTTGGGCGCAGTTTATAATCGTCGTTTTTAATACTATAAATTAAATTATATTAATAACTTTTTGTTTCATTGCAAAATACGATACAAACAATTCTACAAAATTCATGAGTATATTCTATTAATTAAATAAAATGTTAAATGTATTCTAACAGAAATTAAAAAAAAAAATTTAATAAAAAAATAACATTAATTTGATTTTAATAGCTACATATTATATAAGTGTCAAACTGCTATTGCTGCAAGTATATCAATTATTAGCATTATTATTTTTCATGCATTCCCATTGCTTTTTATATTTTAAAATAGCACATGCACATTATTTACAATTTCACAATAGCCACAGCATTGTTATTCTAAATCAATCAATTATTCTAAAGCGTATACATGGACAATGGACATACATTATTATTTTTATGCGTCAACTAAATTAAATAATTAACTCTTATCTATAAAATAATTATTTTGTCTTTCATTATGATTTCTAACCGTACATATGCGCCAGTTCATTGTACATAACATGACAAGCAACGTTCAATTTTTCTTCTTCTAATTTTGTAAGTAAAACAACATATATTTAAGAGTAGACGTAGTATACATATTAATAATTGTCAATGTATTAATAAACATATTATCGTATATGCATTAATAAAAATAAAATTTGATTTTAGTTATACTAGAATTACTTGTGAAAATGTAATATTTCATTTACATAATATTATGTCGTATTGTTATTTAGTATAATCTTTAATACCAACATTGTTGGTAAACCAACATTACAAATATTCTGGTATCAATATTTATAGTCAACTAGGAACATTGAAGAAAATTCACTAATACCTTTATACTATTCTTTGGAGACAAAAAATTGAACTAAATATTTTAATCACACATACTTTTTTTTACCAATGCTTATAGTTGTTATCTTAAATAAGCCAATATCATTAACTAACAAACAATTATCATGATTAGAAATAGTATTAAACGAATTAAAAAAAAAGTTTAATTTAACCTTAGTTTATAAAAATGTCTTGATTGTTAGCTTATTAAATATCAGCCAAATTATATAAAATAATATAAAAACACTGAAGTAATAATAGTGACAACTCATTCAAAATGTTGTGGTAATTTATATAAGTTAGGTACTTATCGTATTATACATATAATTATCTACTTAAATATATAGAATATCTTGTTATTTAAATAGTAAAAGTACAATTTGTTGTTAATCTGTTTTTTAGTTAATACAAACGTTCGATTGTGCAGTAATACAGATTCATCTGAAACGATTTAGTAATTTAAAAAAAAATTAATACTCTTTATGATTAATAATTATTAAGCTATAAATTCGAAGAACAGAAATTTAATAATTATATTATAATTATTGAAATTAAATTGCATTGATAATACACTATTTTTCAAATATCACATCATAATATGCATCGTAGTGATCAATATTACTAAATTATTTTTATATTAACATGTTTTGATTTCTTAAAAAATCTGATTTTCGTTTTTTCGTTGTAAGCTTTACGTATATTTGTTGTTTGTAAGTGTGATTGAATTAAAAAAAATATTTCAATGCAATTATTTGTAATTTTAAGCATTTTTATTCATTAAATACAATTAAAGTAATATAACAATATTCTACATCAATATTATTTTATTTTTCTATTTTTTTTTTGTTTTTTTTTTTAGTATAAAACATTGCTTTATAGTTGCAATAATTATTATTTGAAAATATCAAGTCAATATTTTTAAGACCTATATATTATTATGTTGCATTGCTGCAATCCTTGTAATAGTTCTTTCTATGCGTTGTTTGTGAGAATTTTTATAATTGTAAATTTTGTTTTAATAATTTAAAAAATAAAGTTAATTTATTATTAGAATGTAAAGATCATTATGTATATTATACAAACGTACGTTGGTTAAACACAGTTATGTTAAGATGGTTCTAATGACTCTATCCTTTCAATTAAGATCGGTTCGCCATTAATATTTATTCGGTTAATGATTTATTTATTATCATGAGAATTAAATTACATTTCTATACACATAATAATCAAAATATTCATTTTTAAAATTAATTCATCAAATGAAATGTTTGTATTTTATAATATTTCCATATTATAAAAAAATGATCTGTTATTCCAGTTATATTCATACATTTAAACACTATATGTAATAGCCTAGCTAACAAAGTAATATTTGATTAAATTGCCCATAAAAAAAAAAAGAGTAATTATCTTGAATTATTTGTTTGGTTCTAAAAAAAGAAATATTTAGAAAATGAAAAAATAAATGCTACTCAAAAATTAACATAAAATTATACATTTTATTACATATACCATATACATACAGTTGTACAGTATAACCAATATTATGAACCATAGTTTTTTGTTAGTTCAGCTACTTTAAACTGCTGTAGTCACTAAAGTATACTTAAAAATGTTAATGACTTTATTTTCCTCACTTTATAATAATTATAATAACTGAATTTTCTGTGTTGGTTTTTGACAGATATGGATTATTATTAGTATTGTGGAAAAATAGTACACAATTCACACACATTTAATATAAATAGTATACATGTATTATAATACAACAATATTTGCCAATAAGTCAGCTCCATCAGCAGAGACGCGCCACATCAAACATGTCAGCGTTTTGCTTGAACTCATTGATCTTAATGACCGTGACCACGGTTATGGTGACAAACGCCGCATTAATCGAGAGCAATTACTCTGATGACAGACTGGGCATAGAAAATCATCTGGTTAAGAGGGACGCCGACTATGACGGAAATAGTGTCGAAAGCGACGAAAGTTTTTTTTTTAATTTCTCAAATTTTTTTGGACAAGAAAAATCTGATAGTGAAAATGATGATAAAAATGATGTAGAAAATAAACCAGATTTCATCACCACTTTCGACATACTTAAACTTTTGGACGAGAAATACGCTATGAAACAATTCTATTGCGTCATAAATGAGGATCCGTGTGATGCAGTCGGATTGAGGCTCAAAGGTATGACGTTTACACTAGTGTAAAATAAAGTATACTTAATGTACAGGTAGTCACTTATAATTTAATTACTGTTAACTCTCGATTATCAGCGAAATAGGTAAGGTGGCGTGGCAACCACAGTTAAGCAAATTCCCACGTTGAGAGAAAAATTGTTAACAAAAAAAAGTATCTCAAGATTAGGTTTAATTTTAAGACCCTTGGGTAAGATAAAATATTGCATTGCAACACAGCTTTCTAGGGTAAGTTTTAAAACTTGAAATTTTCTCTTTTTTTCTATTGATTTCTTATATTATATACTTGTAATGTATATATAATTCTTAAAGTTTCAAAAAACCACGGTAATACGTAAAGTAGATTAGATTATATGCAGATACTCGAGAATTTACTGCAAAGTGTTATAACAGGATACTAACTACTTATTATAAGTCTTCGATTTCAAGAGAAAATTAAGATTAGTCCAATATTCTGAAAATTTAATTGTGTATAAAAAATTAAAGTAACTTAATATAATTAAAGTAATAATTAAAAATAATGGACTTTACAGCCGTCAATTCTGTCTTAATTTATTTTTTTTTTCCAATCTTTTTTATTTAGTTATATCATCAATTATTCTTATTGTTCTAATAGTTGTAACAGATTGAATAAATAAAACTATAAACAAACAAACAAAAGTAATGGAGTGTTTCAATTTTTTTATAAGTTTCTAATTTTGGGATAAATTGTTATTATAAGATTAGGAACCTTTAATCCCTCATAAAAATGATTATGTGGCTTTACGTATACTATTTTTTTTTTAAATTTCTAACATTAAAAAACTAATAAGGAATTTCATATTACATTTTCAGAGTTTAGGTGTTTAAAATGAATAATGTTAACTACAAAATAAATTTCAAATTTTCATAAATTTTGATAAATATTGTAAAAAATTTAAACTTGAAAGAGTAAAAATTGAGTTAATATATTTTTGATAGTAATTTTTAACATATTTTCAAAAAATTTTAGATACTAGAAACCTTGTATTATTTTTTTGTATATTTTAATACACATAATCGTCAATTTAAAAAATTTTACTGCTCAAAACGTGATAACAAATATCAAAAAATAAATAAATTTACATAATCATTGTAGTTTTAATATACTCGTCGCTTTATACAGAATCTAAAATTTAAATTCTTTAATATTAAAATAATTATATTTGCCTATATTTAACTCCTTAAAAATTATTTCCATTGAATTCTTCGGACTTAATAAACTAGTAAGAGCTTCATAAATAATTTTACAAAAAGTTTTTAAATAAAATAAAACACGAAGAAAAATATTAAAACTATAAATATTAATTTTGAATATTATATTGTACGTTGTATATTTGCTTGGAACATATAATTCAAATTTATTTAGCTAACATAGCTTTATATTAGACTGATAAAAAAAAAGTTAGTGCCTAAAAAATTCGATCTAAAATAATTATTTTTGTACAATTATTATTGAATAAATCTAATTTTCAAAGATCTATCATTAAAAGTTCTAAAGACCAATGAAATTAAACATAAACTTATTAGTATACTTATTTAATATTTAGTAAAAGAAAAAAAAATAATAAAATACTTTAAAAATGTAGTTGTTTAAAATTTAAAATATAGAAATATTTATATTTAATAAAAAGGTTATATAAAAGTAAATTACAATGTATTATTATTATTAACAACCTTTAAATTGAGTGAAATAAGTTCGTGTTAATTAAATTAGTTAATTCTACTTATAAGGTTGATAAATAAAATACATTTAAATCCACATTAAAATAAGGATTTTTAGAAGCTATTAGTCAATTAATTGCATTTTTTAAATATATAAATTATATTTATAATATAGTATATAAGTTATAGAAGTCAATAAATAATTTTCTTTTTTAAAAGTTCAGGTAAAAAATTATCTTTCATTAGTTAAAAAAAAATTCTGTTATCATATTCTGTTATAATATTCTGTGTAATTAAAATAGATACTTAATTATGACGACAAATGTCTAGCATTTTCACAAAATATTTATATTATCATCGTATATATATAGAAATATTGTGACTCTTTTATATTATTTCTAGTCATTTGAAATTTGAAATTTGTTTTTAATTTTATTTCTATAAATGTCAATAAAAATTTCGATTAGTTAAACAATTTAACAATTTATTACTAGATTTCGCATAAGTTTTTCGTATAGATATGTAAAAATATATAAAGTACATATTCATAATTAATTTTTATAAACATTCAAGTTCAAATTTGGACGAAATTACATATTTTAACAATGAATAATGATGGTAATTATTTTCTTATAATTTAAAAACATTTTTAGTTTTCATATTTTAATCGCACAATGATATTTTCACATGTAATGTTTTCTACAAAAATGAATTTAAGCTATACTATATTACTATAGTAGTAATAATTAAATGACTTTACCTTATAGCAAAATCAAACCACATAAAATGAAATATACCTAGTGGTATAGACTAATAGATCGTCTTTGCTCAGAATTGTTTTTCGTGTACAAATATATTTTTGAATAAAAATTTAAAATATCCATCTGACAGTGACCCACTCAACGAAAACTATAGAGCAGTATCCATTAAAAAAAATCTTTTTTAATATGTCTTTGCGAATTTTACCTTTTTAAAATCAACCCTTATTTGTTTTCGTTTTAAGTACTATCATAAGTATCTAATTAATAATATTACATACTTAAAATTTTATTTTATTTTCTAGCTAGTATACCCGAAGAAATAAACAGGGACTGCGAACGCTGTACCTCAACAGAGACAAGCAATATTCGAAGAATTTTGAATTACGTGAAAAAGTACTATCCAGAATTTTGGAATCGTGTCGAACCAATTTATAAAAATAAAATGACTGTCTAAATTACTTATATCGTAAAACAATACATAACAACATAAATAACATCACATTTTTCATAAATAATTAATATTTATTTTAACTGAAACATATAATTATATCTATTTTTATAAGCATATAATTAAATTATATTAAAATAGCTTAAATAGGGAGAAATACATCATATTTTGTTTCTTACTAGTTCTACTACAACAGAAAGTGCCTAGGAAAAGTTTAAAAAATAATTATTTAAACGGATTAATGTTTAGCAGCAGCTGCAGCCTTTTCTGTATCGAATTTTTCGAGATTCTTCTTATATTCACCGGTTGGATCGTATTTGGAAGTCAAACGATTAAAGTCATCAGAACGATTCTTAATCAAAAACTTAATCACCTTTTCTGATCTACTTTTTTGAACATCTGTACATTTGCTACAGTCAGTTTTTAATGCATCTGGTAAAACTCCTGTAATTCAGACAAAAAAAAAATATATATATATATAACTCCTAAACATTACTATGAACACACAAAAAAAAAAAATTGATATTACTAAGAAAAAATTAGAATAAACTACATTTTACATATATACATTCTTTTATTTATTTCTAAATATTATACAGTAATTCGGTCCAGATAAATAAGAATTACAACACCTGGTGAAAGTGTTATCTAACTGAGTCAACAAGGTCTTATTGATATAATATATTTAATGTGAAAGTAAAAATCGTAGTAATCTTATAAATAAAAATAAAAGTATTATTGTTAGTGTCTTTATTGATCTTTTAAGGTATTTTCATTAAGTATATTATATTATTATATAAATATATCAACGTACTCAAGATGGTTATTTGGTTAGATGAATAAAAATATGTTTATAGATATTAAAAATTTTAAAATATAATCAAAGATAATTTAATTAATTTCATTAATTGTAATTATATAATTTAGATAAAATAAATTAAAGTAAACAATACGCTTGTTCTTATGACTTACTCTTTAATTCTCGGCCTTCGTTGGTACAATTTCCCTCATCAAGCAAACACTTGATGTAGCTGGTTAAAATTCTGTTGTTGTTCAATACCTTGTCCACGTCAAAGTTGTCGAATTTGGTTGTGTACTTTTCTTCCGCTGATGTGAAGTAAATCAACGATACGATCAGGACAAAAAATAAGTTAAGGTGAGCCATTTTTATCCGTTTCAACGAATAAATATTCTTAAAAAATTAGTTTTGGTTAAATCGGAAATATTTGAGAATACTAAGTGAGGTACGGATCTGCATAGCCTTATATACCATTTCCATTCCGATCAGATTAAAGAGAGGAAGTAAAAACAGTTGAGCTTAAGTGGGAGAAATATACCGGTTTTGAATAATATGTCCATTATTGCATTTAAGTGTTAAATAAATTTGAAAAATATACTGGAGTATTATAACAGGCTGCACAGACAGTAAACAATTTTAAAGTAAATTCGAAGTCAATTAATTAGAATTTATAAAGTAAATCTACATATTATTTATTAGATATGCCATATTATTAAATATAAGCAATTAGACACATTAAATACATTTGATCTTACATAACTAATTAATAATTTATTTTGTGAAATAAGTAATTAGTATAATGATTATTGATTAGTAATTATGCACTTTTCATCAAATATCTTTTTAATTGTTTTTCATTGGTGCAATTATTTTTTATTATCATTTTAATTATTTTCGAGAAAAAATATATAAATGTAAGTACTTACATTAAAAAGAAAATATATGACTAATGAATATATAAATATTTTATTTTTGTTTGATAAAGTTCACGTAATATTTTAATCATAGACAGTGATTTGAAAAAACTAAAATAAATTCATGATTTTATTGCAACAAAAATGCTAATAAGTAATATAGTATAATATAGTATACAGTTTACCAAGGAATGTCATTTTAAATTTTACGGCAAACAAAATTATTTATAATAATTAGTTTTTTAAACTTTATTATTTAAATTTCATTTTGTAATAATTCAAGTTTTGGAATTTAAGCTGACTAATTTTTATAATAATTAGAAATAATTATTTGTACAACTACAGCAATATCTCGGAAGCCATTTTACCTGATTTTTGTTCAACCAAAAAATGAATTATTTTCGAATTTCCTAAAACATGAAACAATAGAGCACTTTCATTGTAATATTACACATTTTTTTAACATTTTTAATTTAATTTTATATATTATATTATTAATTCTGTATCTATAAAATTTGTTTGTGTGAAAAATATGTTTTTGTTATTATAGTACCTATATCGTATAATATTGTCATTTCTCATTTGTTCTTATTCAATTAAACATAAATTCAGACTTATCATCTACTTGTTACTCAGCAGTTAGTAACCAATAAATAATAACTAGGTTTTTTAATGGTATTATCGGTAATTACTATTTGTAATTAATCCTTCATGTTTGACAAAAAAGATTATTTTAATAGCTTTAAGAGAACATTATTGTTTTATAATTATACATAATATAAAACCACACTGAAGTAGTACAATAATTATATTAGCTAAAAATACGATACTACGATAGCTACGATATAATAGTTTAAAGAGACGTATTTAAGGAGGCAGGGAGGTTTGGGCCCCGGTTATTAATATTTAAGGGGTGGGAAATTTAGGAATAATAATAAGAATTAGTGCTTAAAGAACGGGCGAGACCGTTTTCAACCAAAAACTCTTCCCTTTTGGCCGATTTACTTTTTGATCAAATTAAAAAAAAAGCACCGATTCCCTTTTTGACCAAAATTGTAGTCTTTCCTTTTAGGCCAAAACAAAATTTTACATAACGTATGTAAAAAAAAATAAAATAATTGGTATATAATTTTTTATAAAATTTGGGCAATTGTATAATTATATATATATATATATTAAAACGATTAAAAGTATAAAACGCATAAAATGTTGTAAAATAATTTAAAATACAAGAATATCTATATATTAATATCATTTTTATGTTAATACGCCACAAATCCACTCATATGGTTTAAATTTTATTTTTTATATAATTTTTCACATATTACATAGGTATCTGCTGTGACGTCATATATTAATATAAAAATAATGTTAATATATAGTTATTCTTATATTTTAAATAATTTTCTACATTTTATGCATTTTATAATTTTAATCATTTTCAAAATTATATAATTATATCATTTATTACCCAATGCCCTAATTTTACAAAAATGATATACCAATTATTTAATTTTTTTACATATATTAAAAATTTTGTTTTGGTCGAAAAAAGAATCAACCTATTTTAAATTTGATCAAAAAGTGAATCGGCCAAAAAGAGAAGGGTACGTTTTTGGCCGAAAACGGATATGCCCTAAGGGGGGAGTAACCGAATTGGTTCCCGTTTAAAAAAGGTATTTTATTAGGTTGAGCCGAATTGGTTCCCGTTTGTGTACAGGTAATTTTTAATTTTTAATAATTGGTATAAAATATTAATTAGATAGTATAAAATATAAATATACCTACACGGCTACACTCTATAGTCTATAGCAGTTAGTAAATAGTTTTTCAAAAAAAATTCGCGGGCCAAATTTTAAGTGTCATTTTTATACTTATAAACTAAAAACTAAAGGCAAAGATATATACAAAATCCATTTATTTAAATATGACTTAATATATTATAAAATTACTTTTATTATAATTACTATTATTTATTTTAATTTTAATATTTTGTACCTACACCTATAAGTGATGACTATAGTTAATTCCAAATCAACAATTTAAAATTATATATATTATCATTTTTTTTTAAAACACACATTAATGCACATTTTTAACCAATCCTACTTTTTAGTTGAGAGTCCTAAGCCTGTAAAATTGAGAAGGAAAATGTGCGTAATTAAACGGGAATCAATTCGGTTCAACTTAATAAAATACCTTTTTAAACGGGAATCCATTTGGCTTACCTTAATAAAATACTTTTTTCTAACGGGAAAAAATTCGGTACATAGAGTTGGAGCTCGGGAACCAATTCGGTATCAGCCCATTAAGGAATAATGCCCTATGGCACCAAAAATGTAAATGCGTCTCTGATAGTTTTATATTATGATATAAATACACGTGTACCAAATAATATGACATAAATACTTATGTATCAAATAATATGATATAAAATATTAGCTTCTACGGTAAATACGATAATAATAATTTGGGTATAATGTATTCAGGTGTTAAATCTAAGACATTTAACGCCTGACCACCCGGAAACAGTTAAAAGGTAGTGCGCTTTACTGTTTGATCATTACCTCAAGAGAAAATAATGTTTCAAACTTAAATCAAAAAGTATATACTTTTTATAAGCAATTTAAAGTTTATACATTGAATTCTCTGTCGTGGTATAGTATGTAAACAATATTGCACCTACGCTTTATTCTTTAAAAATAAAAAAAACGAAGATAATTTCAGATTCTTTAATTTTTAATTTCATTAAATTTCATTAAAAAAATATTTAATTTTTCGAAATTTTGGATATTTTATAAATGAACTATTCTAGCCTTTTTGTATTAGTCGTACGTTCATAGTGGATTTATAAATTGTCTTGGAATTGTATTTTTTATAGATATTATAAATAGGTGGTTAATTCATACTTGCTTTGTAATAAGTTATAGGTCATAGGTATTTTTTTATTAATTTTCATTTACCTACTAAAACATCGTCTACACGCGAAATCGAAATAATTAAAATTTTAAGGTATAATTGGTAAGCAACTGATACTATATTTGGTTAGCATCTTGAAGTTTATCTTTGTGACTTTGTGAAGACAATTAAACATTTTAAAAAAAATCTTAATTTCGAAAATTTTTATTCTAATTGTAAACTTGCTGTTTTAAGTTCTCTAATTTTGAAATTAATTCAACTTTGTCAAAGTAATTTTCATATTTATTTCGCAATTTAATTGCACACTATTTTTATTAATGTTTACAACTAACTAACATTTATATTAAAATATCGTTGGGTTTGGTATTGTCCATGAATTACAAGTATAAAGTAATAAATTAATAACAATAATAATTATACAATATGTCAACACTGGTTAAAAATAATTTAAAAATTTCTAAATAATGAATGTTTGATATTATTTTCTTTTCTTGTCGCAAGTTCGAAAATTTGTTATACGGATAGACATGTCCCAAACATTTTATATCATTCATAGTATATTTCCGTGGTAAATAAATAATAATTATATTCAAATTTAGTTTTCTCAACAGAAACTCTATGTATAAAAAATTTCAATTCAAAAATATAAATTTAAATTTTACTTGTGACAAAATCATATTAAAATATTTTTACGTTAAGATAAAGAATTATCATTTATTTATTAAGAACTTTAAACAATTAATTTTCTTTTAGTATAACTTGGATAGGATAATATGATATCATAATAATACTATTATGCGTTTCTATCGAATATTGCTAGCGACTAGTGTACGACCACCCATGTACCGTGTACCTATAAGATTTAGCATTACTCCGAATTAACTTCGTTAACGTAATAAGATGTTTAATATGTATAATATTATTATGGTCACCACGCCAAGATATCTGGTTTTTTCTTTAGGCCTTAAAGTAATTTGTTATAGACAAATAAACATAAAAAAAACACACAAATAATAGCAGCCTGTCAGCTTTACATAACAAGTTCCGAAATTTAACATGGAATGTCTTTAGCTACTATGTAGGTACAATTTGAATTGTTAATCCGAACTGCACACATGTTTCTACATTTATAATATATTTTCATACTATACTTATATATTATATAGTATTAGCACCTAAGTTTAAATTTTATTTGACAACCATAATTTATAAAAAAAAGTCTATTAAATACCTAAGTCCGTATAGAATCAGTAATTTTTTAGAAATTATTATAAGAAAATTATAGTAGTTCTATTATTCGTGTCAAATTTAACAAATGTATGTACTCGAAAATATAAATATATTGGAGATGACTGCGTTAGAAATTAAATTTTTATTTTCCTTAAATATTTATATACAGAAATAACGAATATGTAGTATATACATTTTAAATACATCTTGGGATCAAGTAAAAAAATTATTTTTCAATATAAGGATCAGGGAACTGTGGAAGATATCACTCATTAGTTACTAAAACACTTTTTACAACATAATATGTTCAAGACAAAGAATTAATAATACTCTTTGAATTTAATAAAGCTCAAAATAAATTTCTAATACCTACTTTCAATTTATATTGTGGTAAGTAGCAGCTAAATTTAAAGAGATTTCAAATCCACATCATAGTATTGTGGGGTAAAACTAATGAATAATAACAAAATAAACCATATTTTTGTAACAGATGGTTATTGTATGTCATACTCATACATACTATATTATGTTCTTAGTTAATTTTTAATATAAATATGTT